TTCTAAGTCCGTAAATGAATCGGAGGGGCTTTCACTGATGTCAGACCAGGGTATTCAAACCCTTTTTTTGCGAACTATTTACAGCCCATCTGTATCACAACTTCCCTCGACAAAGGCAGGCTTTTCATTGAAAAACAGTCCTGCACCCCCGAAAAGAAAACACGCACTGCACCACTCACTAGATTTGAGTGGACTGCTGATTAATGTTCTCAGATGTAACAAAGGACAATCATACCTTCAGAGAATGTCTTCTTGCTTGCATTTGAAGTTCGGAAACCCGCACAATCAATTGCGGCCCCCATAATACGCACATTTGTGAAGCAAACACGACACCAGGCAATTTCGTGGAGATTCGGCAGTCGAACGATTTTCTTCTGTCCCATTCCATTTCTGGGCAAATTTGCCCTTTCAACGACTTCACGACCGATCATGTCCCGCCACCTGGTATCCGTAACCACACGTGGAACAATTGTTGGCACAAGAGCCGAAACTGCTAAAGTCATGGATCAAACTCCCAGCAGAGAAGCACTTCTCTCAACAACGGCTTTTAATGTTATCGAGTATTATTTGTACAATCGTCCTGACCCCGATAAACTTGAAGTTGCCGTATGAGACAGAGAAGTTTCATTTCAGAGCATTTCATCCTCTCGTTGTGATACGTGGGTTTGATTTTTGCTGCTGCACCTCATTTCAATGCCAGGCATTTGTTTCTGTATAACCATTGGTAGCCAGTGACGAAAATATACTTGAGGTTTTCATAAGATACTTACTCTCTTGACACTCTCGGGTTCAAATTGTCACCAGGACACTCCCGTCTAGATCAGGAGCTGACCCACAGGAACTCGTGTCTTAAGTTTCCTGTAATGGAGATCTGTACGAGTCAACACGCCACTCTTCTTGTCCTACCGAACGACTAAAATCCAAGAGTTTCATGGGGAATCGGCAACTTCTGGCGCTGAAGTACCACCAGTTCACCAAAGTTTGAGTCCCGAAACACGCTTGTCGAGGGCAAAACAAAATGACTACTGGAAAGGAACGAGTTTCCCATGATAGAGCAAACAGCTAGAAGACAACTACCCACCTACCATACAGTTCTTCTTCCGACACAAACACCAACAAACTCCACCACAAGGCCCTCAGGGCGTGTCTGAAGTGCAAACGTCGAGTTTCGTCAAATTTCGTCGACGAAACTCATCCGTGGGACCCACGCGTGTTGGTGTCTGAAGTGCAAACTGACATCCCTCGACGAAACTCGACGTTCGTGCACATGTCGAGGGATGTCGAACAGTGATACCGGGCAGCTGTTTGAGTCACTGTAGTCAGTGAGTGTTTCAAAAACAATTCTTCGACACGCCATGTCTGCATAGCTGTGGCAAACACACGTGAATAAGAACTAAGACGAGAGCGACACGTGCTAGAGAAATTTCGCTGGCAATGTGACAGTAGAATATCCGGTGTTACCAGCAACAATCTATGCTAAGCGAAATTCGCGAGATTGCAAACAATTGAGTTACATGAATGATTCTGTTAATTCCACGTCAAATTTTCATGGGCAACTTATAACAGTGTTCCTATGGCACGTGTGGGTTATTTTGTCGTGTGGGTGTCTGAAGTGAACACAGCTGAAAACGGATGTCGAGTTTCGTCAAGGAACGTCGACGAAAGTTTCGTCGGCAAACGTCGAAATTCACTTCAGACACGCCCTCATCACATCTCATCGCTCCCCCTCTTCAGAGCCCAGCCCAGCCCACCAGACCCGTCACTGCAGCATTTGCTCCTCATACACGCACTTGCTCCTGCCATTCGTGCGCCGCTCCCTTCATCTCATGTGTGCTGTGCAGTGAGACAAACCCCGTTCTCCAACTCCAAATCACCAGAGCTGTCTGCAATGGAAACCAGCCTTCCGCACTGGGCCACGAACAATCACTCATCACTGAGGTTTTACAACGTACCTCTTCGAGCTAGTACTCGTGTGTTAACTCCGACGGTTTGATACTATTCCATGTGCTCTCGATTCTTGCTATCCCGGTCGTTAAAGAAGCCATTACACGAACCGCTGAGCAGCTGAGATAGTTACGAGCCTCTTACTTTCTGATTTGCACGAGATCTTAACGTACATAGTACCACAGTCTTAAAAGCATGACGGACAATCAGCGATATCGCTCCCGGCGCTGTCCAGAGGCGTCGCATCGATCTTTCACGCTAACCGGGCGGACGTCGCGGCATTGCTGCTCGGCTCTCTTCGTCGCATGCCTAGTAGCGTTCTCGGTAGCCCTTCCTCGCACACGAGCCCAAGCAGTCGCGGACAGTCAGCGTAAGCCACACCCTTTTCCAACCTCCGCAACTTCAAGGCGAGCTACGGCCTTAGCAGTAATATAGCGCTTATTTTCATAGTGTAGAAAATCCCCTCGATCTGCGGCGTTCGCTCACGCCCACCGTCAGCAGGTAGTGTATGAGAGACTCCTTCTTGAAACAAGATGCGATGCTCTAGTAGGTACCGCAGGCGGTTGCTCCTGGCGTCGTTATGAGAGTAGCGTAGCTAGTTTATTGCGCGGGCTGAGTATCAAGTTACTCTCAACAATGCTTCGACTCAAGACGGTTTCCCATCCACACAACCCCGCCCCCCCAATCTGCGCACTGGGCAGGACCGGCGCTGGCGGCGATAATGGAGGTGTGGGGCGGAGCGCTCAATCTGAACGCCACGTGGTTCGTCATGCCGACCTGCGCGCAGTGGCAAGGGCTCGCCTGCAACGCCATGGGCCAAGTCACCTCCTTGTGCGTCTCGCCCACCTCCTCCTTTTAATTCCGCAATGATATCCACACCCTCTCACCTGTCACCACACCCAAGGTGTGCGTGACTTCACCTCCCTGTGGATGGATTAACCCCCCTGATGTGACTTCCCTCACCTCTCTGTCAACTGAGGTCACCACTCGCTGCGAGCTTTATTTCACTCGCGCGACCAAGGTCAGCAGCATATCTCAGCACCGTTTGCGCGAGGCGCGCTGGTAGCCGCCTTTCTCGCGACGCTTCGTTCCAACGGCGCGGACGTGCGGGTAGTAGGGCCGTCGATGGAGTCCTCTCGGAACGATAAATTGCGCACACTGACTGCGTACGTGGCAGACTGCGAGTGGCAGAGTGCCCCAGCGCACACTTACGGCGCACCTTTAGAATTAATACGTGCCGCCGTGTCTCTCGGCAGAAAGTCCGGCAGTAGATACGATATAGCGGCGGGAGGAAGAAGACGCAGCCGTCGCTATTTAGTTCCGATTGATTTCTCGCCGCCCCATGGGGCTCTTATTTCGACATGATGTCTCGCCTAGGACTGACCGCGCTCGCATGTCAGGCGCTCCCATCCAAAACGGGTCGCGAGCCGCTACGAAGTTCACCTGACAGGCCGCGGCGTCCGCTTTCATCATGTCGTACGCCTTCTCCCACCGTCGCTGTTCGCATCGTCACTACCAGCGTCATCTCTACTGTCGGCGTCGTTAGTAGATGTACCCCGCAAACGGAATAGAGTTAATCCGACGTCGGGGGCGCCGCAGATAAAAAAAAAAACGCGGCTCTCCCCTCGTGTAGCTCCTCGGACCGCCGCCTTTCGCGCGTTGCCATTTCCACTGCCAGTGGTACTGACGGCGTCATCCAAATCGGCGTCCGATGCCGCTATCATTGTTATTTACCCGGCGAACGGAAGAACAGGACGGAGGCGCCGCTGATCCTTCCAATCCGCGGACTGCGCGTGCTTCGCGGAAATCGGCTACTACTAGTACAACTACTAGCACTACGTACCGTTGTGCTCTGTCCACGAGACATTGCAGCAGTGATTTCGGCGGCTCCCCGCAGGAATGAATCATACAAGTAACGATTATTTATAGAAACGGAACGGAGGAAGTTATAGTAACAGCTATATGCTGGCAGGTGAAGCCGCGTACTCGCAGCGTGCATGAAAGCCATCGCCAATTTTTGCCCGCAGAGGTGCGTCGTGAAACAGATTCGCGACTCGTTGGGCGGGAGATATCCGTCGCGCCGAGTGAAGTCCCACGTCTCGAAGAATTTCGGCGAAGAAATTTGCGAATGATATTTCTCCAAATCACCCTCATGTCGCAACTCGCGAAGCAATTCGTCCACGGCAGTCCCTCCCCTTCTCGTCGTTAACTTTTTTCGCTCAACCTGCTGGCTTTTTCGTCCGCATTCCTCACTTGTGTTGTACCTTCGTGCGCAGGGAAATTTCGAATCAGCGGCAACTTGCGGGGCAGAGCATACCCGCCGCCATCACCCAACTTTCCTCACTTCAAAAGCTGTAAGTCCCCACTTCCCCAGTTCCTACCTCCCCAACTTTCACCCACCCAGTTCCCACCCTCCAGTCCCCCAGTTCGCCAGTACTTTCCATAAGAATGATAGCCGCCGCGCTTCACATCTTCCCCGCTCTCCTTCGTGTCCGCCTTCTCTCTCCTTCCTCTCTCTTCTTCCTCTCTCCCTGTTCCCCTTCCTCATCCGCTCCTCTCGTCCCCTTTCCCAACCCGCTCTGCCGCCCGCTTACAGGAGTCTGGATCACAATCTTCTGGTGGGCAGTGTGCCGCCCAACATCGGATATCTCTCCGCCCTCACCAACCTGTACGCCGCCCTTCTCATCCCTCTTCTCGGCTCGCCTCTCCTCTTCCTCTCCTCTTCCTCTCCTCTTCCTCTCCTCTTCCTCTCCTCTCCTCTCCTCTCCTCTCCTTCCACATCTCCCCTCAACTAAGCAAAGCGTGCGCGCCGTCTCTACCGCCCACGTTTCTCCGTGCACCGTCCTTTCTTCCTCATTGCCTTCTCTCTTCCATCCACCCTTCGATCCTCCACTTCTCTCGCCACGACCAAGCTCGCTCCCAAGGCGCCTGCATTCGAGGCGCCTCGGATAGCTCGGCACTAATTTGTGTCGCCCCTGCTTTCGCTTCCTCCTGTTCCTTCCGTTCCGTTCCGTTCCGTTCTGTCCTCTGCTGCCCCCCTCGCCCTGATTCCGCAGCTCGTTAAGCGGCAATGCTCTCCAGGGCGCCGTCCCACCGTCGCTCTCCAACCTCGCCAAGCTGCGCGTTCTGTACGTCCTCCTTCCGCCCTCCTTCCGTCCTCCTTCCGCCCTCCTTCCGCCCTCCTTCCGCCCTCCTTCTGCCCTCCTTCCGCCCTCCTTCCGTCCTCCTTCCGCCCTCCTTCCGTCCTCCTTCCGCCCTCCTTCCGCCCTTCTTCTGCACAGTCTGGCTGGATGTTTCCTACAAAGTGCCATGCCATGCCATGCCATGCCACGCCATGCCATGTCCCCTTCTCCCCTTTCTAATCACACACCTCCCCTTGCTGCACCCCCACCCTCTGCCCACCCCAATGGTTCCCGTGCAGCGACCTTAGCTCCAACGGCTTATCCGGGCCCATTCCCAACGCCTTCGCTTCTCTCACTCTCCTCACCACTCTGTACGCCTTCCTCTCCTTCCGACTTCCTTCATTCCACTCTGCACTTCTCCTTGACTCCTCCTGCGTGCTTTCACAATCGAGCCAGAATTCGCCGCACCACCATGCGATCCTTTCTACTTGCGTCTGGTCCAGTCCATCAACGAGCGAGACAGCTATCCCACAACACTCTCTGCTCTGCACCGCCTTCACTCTTCTCTCCCTTTCTCTTCTCTCCGTTTCTCCTCTGCGCCCTTCTCCCCTCTGCCCTGCCCTGCTCCGCTCTGTTCCTAATCAATCGCAGGGCTCTCGGGTCCAACCAGCTCACAGGCCCTCTGCCAGCGTCTCTCTTCGGCCTCTCCAACCTCGTGCATCTGTAATAAATGACTCTCTCTTGCATGCCTCTCCTCTCCACCCCGCATCACAAAGCTCATCATGGCATGGCAGCTATCTTCTCACTACTTACCGCGCTCCTTCCCCACCACATCCCCCCCCCTGTTTCACTGTGCGGTCCCTGTAACAGGCATACACAGACCAGCGCCACTGGCGCACACAGACTCCCGCACTCCCTGCCTTTAACTCCCTCTCTCCCTCCTCTCTGTCGTGCCATGCGTGCCGTGCCATGCCGTGTGCAGGCTGATCGGAGGCAATCGCATCTCTTCGTCTCTCCCCGACACCATCTCCGGCCTCACCTCCCTGCTCGCACTGTACGTGCCGTGCTTGACAGCCATGCTAGACAGTCGTACTTGACAGCTCTACCACATAGCTGGTTGTGCCAGCCTTGCATAATCCTCCATGTGTCATCCACTCTTGTATATTTCCCTTACCTTTTCTTGTGCACTTCTCCTCTCTCGCTCGCAGTGACGTGAGTCGCAACTACTTTTATGGGAGGCTCCCGGCAGCACTGGGTACCCTCCCCTCTCTTCTCTTCCTGTGAGTGCTCCTGCTGCTCCTCCCCCTGCTCCTCCCCCGGCTCCTCCCCCTGCTCCTCCCCCGGCTCCTCCCCATGCTCCCCCCCCTGCTCCTCCCCCTGCTCCTCCCCCTGTTCCTCCACCCCCTCGTCCTCCTGTGGGTACCCGAACAATGCATTATAATCCCGGTGCGTGCCTCTCGCCAGTCTCTGCAATGCCGTGAGTGGGGACCAGCAAGTTATCAATCCAGTCCTCACCTCGCCTTTCTCCTTTCCCCTTTTCCTCTCTCTCCTTCGCCCCTCCCTGCAGAGACGTGAGCGAGAATCAGTTCACAGGGGCGCCCGTCTCATCCTTCGCGTCGCCAGCCATGGCCAACACCTCCCTCGCCACGCTCGACCTCTCCGGCAACTTCCTCTCCTCCCCCGCCGCCTCCTACTCTGCCAAAGCCACCATCACAACCAACGGCACCACCACCAAGATCACAAACAGCACCACCAACAGCAGCAGCAGCAGCAGTGGCACCAACACCACTGCTACTCTCACCTCCTTCTGCCCGTCGTCCCTGCAAGGTCGCTACGCCTCTGCCAATCTTCTCATCTACGGTATCTCCCCTTACAGCAGCCAGCAGGGCAACTGCTTTCTCGGAGGCAACTGGAATGTGACCGAGAACTTTGTGAACGAGAAGCGCAGGGGCAATGCAAAGCAGGGAGGGCCAGGAGGAAGCAGCGGTGGTGTGAGTGCCAAAGCAGGAACAACCACCGGCAACACCAGCGGCAGCAGCGGCGGGAGTGCGAGCGCGGGGACGGGGTGTGCGGTGGGGGCGCAGAGGCGGGCCATCGAGTGTGTGGCGTTCTGCGGCGCGGCTCTCCCTGCGGGGCCGTGTGGCGGGCTCGGCACGTGCTTCCTCTCCGGCCCCTCCAACACCCCCACCTGCGCCTGCAACGCCGGCATGTTCAACGTCACGTTGACTCTCACTGTCGGGAAGAGCCTTGTCTCGTACCCATCCTGCTCGCCCAACCCCGGCCCTGCTCCCCCTCGTAAGCCATAAAAGCACAGTCTTTCTCATCTCAGCTCATTTCATGTCACATCATCCACTCACCTGCCACTAACACGCCTCCTTTCCTCTCCTTTGTTTCCACCCTGTTGTACCTGTCCCTGCGTGTGCCTTTACAGCGCCCCCACCTGCAGTGGACAACTCCACAATGCGGAAAAGAGGTGAGCCGCTGCCTCTTGAGAATTCCCACAAGTCCCCTCCTCATAGCCCTCACCCACCTCATCCCACACACTGCATCCCCGTCTCAATCCCTCTTCTCGGTCTTTCTTTCCCCTCCCTGCCCTGCGTTGCCCTCGCTTCCTCGCTCCTGGTCAAAACTCTTTACTTCCTGTTGTTGCGATCCCCGTCGCGTTACTCCTCACCCCAGATTCCCGAGGAGCCAATCTCGACCAAGCAGCGACTATCGTCTCCACTTACTTCAACCCATACTTTCGCTACGCCTCCCTCGGCTTCACTGGGAACCTCTCAAACCCCACGTGGAACATCACTCCCACGGTGGACTGGCGGGCGCGGGTGCCTTTGGCGCTACAGCCGGCCAAGGACCAGGGGCTGTGCTCGGCGTGTTGGATATTCGCGCCGGTGGCGGCGGCAGAGGCGCTGTATGCGATTGTGTACGGCGCAGCGGCGCCCAGCCTGGCGGAGCAGAAGGCCATCGACTGCCAGGGCACCTGGACCTGCGCGGGCGGCCGCCCCGACGACGCCTTCAACTACATTGCCGCCTCGGGTGGCCTCCCCAACTCCTCCGCATATCCTTACACTGGCGTCGCCAACAACGGCACCTGCAAGCCAGGTTTTGCGCGGCGGTCCGTGTTCTCTCGCAGGCTGTCTCTCAATGAAGCAGATGAAGCTGAGAGAGCGACAGGGACTGGGTTCCCCACTTCCTTCGCTTCGCTTGCTCACACCCTCTCCCGTCTGCTCAAGGCTCATACCCCCAGCAGCAACGGCAAGCGGACAACAGCGGGCTATGCACCAACAGCAGCACCGAAAAAGGATGTAGCGGCACCATCCCTCCCGCCAGCCCCATTCCCTGTGTCCATGTTTGAGCGCGTGGGCATCAGCGGGTGGCTGGGCCTGGCCATTGCAGTGCAGCAGCAGCCCGTGGTGGTTTACATCGAGGCGCGGTCTCTCTCCTTTGTTAGCTACCCTGGGGTAAGTTCACTGAGTAACGTTGCTGCCTTGGTAAGTTCACTCGAAGGTGTTTGCTCTTAAGTTCGGCCATGCTAATCCTTTTTTTTTTTAATCCGTCCTCGCCTCCGCTCTCCTCTGCTCCTCTACACCTTTCCCCAGGGCTTTGTTTACGCGGACCCCAACTGCTATGCGACGCGGCTGGTGGACCATCTGGTGGTGGTGGTGGGGTTCAACCTGCTGGACGCCACGCCCCACTGGATCATCCGCAACTCATGGGGCCCATCGTGGGGCGAGAACGGCTACATGAAGATCGCCATTGCGGGCGGCCCGGGCATCTGCGGCATGAACACCCTGCCAGGCCTCTACCCATCCATCGTCTCCCCCGACCCCTGCAAGCCCATCAACCCGTGCGGAGGGGGCGTGTGCACAGCGGTCACGGGCAACAAGAACCAGCGCAACAAGTGCTCCTGCCCGGCTAACTTTGTCGCAGTTACCAATCTCGATCTGACACAGTCGTGCGCTATTGGTGAGTGCCACTGGCAGTTAATGTAGGAAGGGGGCCCTTATGCCTTCATCCCTTTTTTGAGGTGTAAAGGTCGTTCTTTGAGAATCCCGCCCATTCCCTCTGAAAGTCAAGTTTTTCTTCAATGCCCTCCCATTCCCGCCCTCTTAGGAATACAAGAGTTCACCCTTCCCCTTTCCGCGCACCCGTCTCTCCTTCCTTCTCCCCACTCCTCCTCCCGCCACTCCAGCCAAGGTGTGCTCGTTCTTTGCAAAGAATCCCTGTGGCTTCGGCACGTGCATTGACGACAACAAGGGCGGCTACTCGTGCCTCTGCTCGCCGGGCTACCTGCTCGGCGCTCTTACAAGCGGCGCTGCCACCTGCATCCCTGGTGAGTCATCTTACAGGCCTGCTACACCAGGTCCGGAAGTCCTGTTTTCTTTGTTTGTCTCTTCAGTTCTCCTTGCGTACATGACCCACTATGTGTGTTCTCTCCTTCCCTCCTTCCCTCCTTCCCTCACTCCTTCCCTCCTTCCCTCCCTCACTCCCTCCCTCCCTCCCTCCCTCCCTTGTGGAACCTGTCCGTGTCACAGGTGCGACGTCAGTGAAGGTGACGCTACCGGCAGACATGTCATGCAATCAGATTCGCTCCACGTACCTCCTCTCAAAGGCCAACTTCACCAGTCTCAACCCCGTAAGCAACAAACCCCAATAAACCGCACCACCCACAAACCACGCCCTCACGCCTATCTCCCTCTTGGCAATCAATCCAGTGCAGGAGCCGATCACATTCCTCTTTCCAAACCAGTTGCCCACATTCGCATCCTCCCTCTCAGCCCCTCTCAACCGCTCTCAACCCCTCTCAACCTTTCTCTCCCATCCCTCCATCCTCTGCTCTCCTTTCCACCCTCCTTCCTCCTTCCGCTCCCTTCTCGTCTGCTCTGCAGTCGCTCAAGTGCCCTGGCACATACCCAGCAGGCACTGTAATCGTAACCAGAAACTCCACAGTGAACGGGACGGCGTGTGTGGTTCCTTACACCATCATTCCCGGCGACACATGCGCCAGTATCGCCTCGGTGTTCAACCTCACCACTGCGGGCCTTGCAGCGGTCAACCCTGAGCTCGATTGCACTGCTCTCGTCGCGGGACAACTGGTGAGGATAAGTAACTTGGCACCTTGTTGTTCTTTTGCGCATACCCATGAGCTGGTCGTGATAGTCCTGATGCTCTTATTGTGACAGGCTCTTGTTGTTATGCTCAGTACAATGGCATTCGAGGATTTAAAACCGGGAAATCGTGCATTCCTTTCCACCTGCCTCTTGGTGTGCCCTTTGCTTGTGCAGATCTGTATAAAGTCTGGAACACCGGAAGCTCAGGGCTGTTTGAATTATTACACGGTGAATCCGGGGGAGACTTGCAATGATGTCATGATCAACACTTACCCTCCGATATCCGCGGCACAGCTGTACCAGTACAACCCTGGGATCATATGCTCATCTGACTCTCAACGACTTGTTGGGCAAGATGTGAGTGCCGGTATCACATGTTTTTGCAGCACTGCCACAGTGAGTTTCTTATGTGAACGTTCACATATCTTGTGCTTATGTTATTTGTTTTGCTGTTTTTCAGGTCTGTGTGGATGCATCCCCAGTGGTTGGTGCACTATATTGTGCATATGGATACTACACCGTGGTGTCTGGCGACACGTGTGGAGGCGTTGCGTGCAAAGTGTTCAGATGTTCGTACTCCTTGATGTACACATACAATCCAGGGTTTGTATGCTCTTCATCGACCTTGTATGTGTCGAAGGTCCTCTGCAAGCCGAAGCCACTCTGAAACATTTCGCAGGGTAGCTTGAAGCAATTTTATTTATTTGGTTGTATATTATGTGTTCATGACTGATTTGCTTAATTATTTTATTCGTTTATCCGAGTGTAGTAAAATAAACGTGTTTTTATCTGGCTTTGTTGCTGTTCCACCAACTGTCCTCAGCCTGTTCGCATAGAACAATGCTGCCACATGATTGTTGGTACAGTAATCCAGGTGTCGCGGCTCGACTTACCGCCTCGCCTGTCGAAGCACCTGAAACTCGGATTCTTACTGCAACCAAATTGTTTTCAAGCTTTTGTCGGACATGGTATTGACGTGGCACATTCTCCTGGTGGCTTCGGTTGTTGCCGCTTTTGTTGTCTACTTTCACGTCTGGGAACTTGGAGGCAAAAGTATTTGTTTCAGGGCAGCTGAAACCCTGACCCTGGAGCTTGTAGTATCCAAGTTGCGCTCAACCTACTTTCGGCAATCATTTTTGCGTTGCGATTTTCCGCCACAGCATCACTCGTACAGACGGAGCGGGCGGAGGGAGGTGGAGGACGACCTCCTGCGTCAGATCCGTTTTCCCCCGGCGCACCCAGGAAACCCGCCAAGACTGCAACATTCCGCACCTGTTTCCCGTCATCTTTTCCGTCCTACCTTCCACCTCGCCGTCAGAACACGTCTGTCCAGGTGTACTATACACACGAGACAACAGAACAAAGAGAGGGAATGAAAGAATTTGTGCTACCTCCTTACTGTTAGCAAAAGGGTTAATTCCTGTCCGTGCAATCATTATGCTGGATGCAAGACCCCTACCCACACTCCCTTTCTCTCTTTGACAACCCTCAGAGTCTGAATCCAGCCAGAGCCGCTCCAACTGCCAAAGTCACCATCCATTCTTACGGAATGTACTGAAATTTGCTCATGAAGCTGGTAGTGTAGTCTTCCAACCAGCTTGTTCAACCCAGTACCGAGTGACGTGCTGGTGGGAGCCAATGCCCCCGTAAACCATTTCCGACAGGGTGTATAACAAATACATAGTGTCCAAAAACAGTTGCTCCCTTCCTCGCTGCACCTTTAGCTAGCTCCCACATCCTCCCTCATTCTTCCACCACACAATCCACCCATCCAGCTTGTTTTCAGAAATTGGCTCGTGTAGGCCTCAACTCTTCTATCCAACCTTGTCTTCTGGATACACTCCGTTTAGATGTCAACTAGAACTGCTAGCTCCAGTAACTGACGGTGTATCTTGCCTTCCAGTGGACCACACTCTTTAGAACCTAATCGCTAGATAAGACTAGCTTTACGGCGCACATCCACCTGGTCGAGTACTGATAGGATTCCTATTGGCAGCTGCCATTGCAATGTACGATAGGCATTAACATTATTCCTGGGCTTGATCTCCCATTTTTTTTTTCGTCATCGTTCCTAGGTAGCTGCTACCTTACCTCAAAACTCCTGAAGCGCTTCTTCACCTGTCGTCAACCGTCCGATCGCCCAGAATGGGCTCGCATCGTCGGCTAGTAATACCTCATCGATCGTCTACTAATTACCATAGCTCCCATCTGTCTGCGCGGTGCCGGAGTCCAACGCTTGCAGTCCTCTTGCTGCTAGTCGCGTCAAGCGCGTGCTTGCTATGTCCACTCCGCTCCGCCAACGCGCAAGCTGTAGCAGACAGCCAACGTGAGGACACTTCTCTCTCTCTCTCTCACCCTCGTTTCCGCTTGCGGCGGCCCCATGGGCGCTTCCTGGTGCCGTTTTCCACTTTCACCCCTTCCGTTCTCGCATCGCCGCGCTGTTAGCTAGCCTGTAGGTGCGATCCGGGCAGCTACCGAGTTTTTCATGTTTTGCGCGTTCATCGCGAATACGCGATGAGAAGCGCACATGACTATTTCGACCATATCTCCTGCTCCCTCTCATTCATGCTCATTCCTGTTCCCCCCTTCCCGCCTCTTCCCCTTCCCCTTTTCCCGCCGTTCCGCCCTTTTTCCAGGTCCGGCGCTGGCGGCGATAATGGATTTGTGGGGGGCGGCGCTCAATCTGAACGCCACGTGGTTCGTCACGCCGACCTGCGCGCAATGGCAGGGGCTCGCCTGCAACGCCATGGGCCAAGTCACCTCCCTGTGCGTCTCGCCAACCCCCTCCTAAGCACACCTTCCACCTGGCACTTGACGTTTTGCGATGCCCTCTTCAAGAGACGGCTTCCGTCTTCCTGCCCTATTTAAGACCCGCCAGCTCTCTTCCTGTCACGCTTCAGTTCAACCACACTGTTTTAACTTTCCGCGCATTTGACCGCGCGCCTCACCGCCCATATCTCCGCGCATCTAAGCGCGCATCTACGCGTCGACATCCCTACGCGCGCCCCTTATTTCCCACTCGCGTTTTTCTCACCGTTCGTCTTTTCCTTCCTCTTTGCCTTGCCGCGGCGCGGCTCTACTCCCCTTACGGATTGTCCGCAGAGAGTTTACCGGCCGCCGCCAGCTAGTCGGACAGAGCATCCCCGCCGCCATCACCCAACTCGGCGCGCTCCAGCGATTGTAAGCGGCGGAGTCTCTGCTTGAAGGGGCGGGGGAGGGCGGGCGGGCAAGGGGGAGGGAGGGGGGCGGGGGCGCGGGTGGTTGGAAATGCAGGGTGGGAAAGAGGGCAGGTCCGAGGGGAGGGAAGCGGAGAGAAACTGTCACAATTTCCCCCCATTGCTTCCTGATTGGTTATCCTTTTCCGTCCCCAATCCCCTCTGCCGCCCGGTCACAGGACTCTGGATCGCAATCTCCTTGTGGGCAGTGTGCCGCCCAACATCGGATACCTCTCCGCCCTCACCAACCTGTACGCCGCCTCTCCCCCCATTCACACTCTCAACCGTTCCGCACTATTTCGCCTCCGCCGTCTCTTCTTCCCCCCCGCGCGCGCGTTCCCGTTCCGCGTTCCGCCTACCGCTCCCCAGCATTGTCCCTCCCCGCGCCCGGGCATTTTCTTCTCCAATCGCCTTTTCGCGTGTCGTGTAGCGAATGTTATTTTCCGCCGCTCAGTAGACTTATTTTTCGCGTGTAGTCACCTCTCTCCTTCCGCGCGCCCCTTCCCCGCCCCTTCCCCGTCCCTCCCAATCTTCGCGGCAGCTCGATGGGCGGAAACGCGTTGCAGGGCAGCATTCCCGCGGGCATCTCCACCCTCGTCAGCCTCCGCGTGCTGTACGCTCCGCGCCCCCTGCCGCATCCCGCGTCGCACCCCTCGCCGCACGCCCCGCTGCACTTATCTTGCTTCCTCGCACGTCCGCTTCCGCCACTTCCGATTTTCGAGATCTCTCCGTGCAAGAGCTGGAGCTATGATTATTGCTCGCAAAAATGGATCCGGTTTCCGTGCAACCCGTCATATGCACTTTCCAGTCCCTCGACTCACCCACCCGCTCTTGCCCTTCGTCCCTCCATGATCCATCCCCGTAACAGCGACCTGCACGAGAACTACCTGACGGGCGCGATTCCGGACAGTTTCGCGCCGCTCTCCTCCCTCGCCACACTGTACGCACACCTTAACCGCCTTCGCCACTTTCGCCGTCCGCTTTTCGCCTTCCGCTCCTCGCCTTCCGCTTTTCGCCGTCCGCGTTCCGCCTTTCTCGTTCCGCCTTCCGCTTTCCGCCGTCTGACTGTACTCCTCGCGTCCGCTTCCTCTCCTCGTTGATATTTTTTTTGCCCTCCTCCCCTTCCGCTTCCACCTTTCTCCCCGCTCCCCGCTTTCCCCCATTCCCGCCCTCCGCAGCGTTCTGGGAAACAACCGCCTCTCAGGCTCCCTGCCCGCCTCCCTCATCGCGCAATCCGCCCTCCAGAACATGTAACCCGCCGCTGCCTTGCTCCCTCCGCCGCCGCCTTGTTCCCGCCGCCGCCGCCGCCCTTGCCCCTTCGCCGGCCCCCCTCTCCCTCCGCCACGTGCTTCTCTCGACCTGCACGCCCACACCCGATTTGGTTGTTCGTTGGCGTCCCTTCCCTCCTCCCTCCCCTTCCTTCATCCCCCCTCTCCCTCTCTCTTTCCCCCTTCTCTCCTTCTCGTTCCCTTTCCATGCGTCCCCGCGCGCTGCTCCCCTGCTTCTCACACCCCTTGCCTCTCCCCCTCCTCTCTTTTTCCCGTCCTCCCCTACTCCCCTCCTCCCCTTCCTTCTCCTCCGCGTGTTGCGCGCAACCCGCAGACTCATCGGAGGGAACGCCATAGCGTCCGTGCTACCGGAGTCCATCTCCGCCTGGAGCTCGCTCCTCGCCCTGTAAGCCCCTGCTGCCGCTCCTGCTCTCACCGTCCTGCGCGCGCCTGCACTGCATACGTTTCGCGACGCCTCTCTCTCATCCGCGCGTCGCCCTTTCCCTCCTGAAGTTCCTCCCACCCCCTTTCGCGCCTCCCTCCCCTCCTCCCCCCTCTTTCCTTTCCCCTTCCCCCCCCCCTTCTCCCCCCAATCCCCCTTCCGCCTTCCGCCTTGTGCATGACCCCAGTGACATCAGCCGCAACAAGTTTTATGGCCGCATGCCGGCTGCTCTCGGGTCCTTCACGGCGCTCGTTCACCTGTACGTGCCACCACACACTGCCACTGCCCACCGCTGTCCACCTCTACTCACCACTCTCTGCCTCTTTCTGCCGCTGCCTGCTGCAAGCATTCACACCCAGCAGGATCCCGATTCACTCCTCAACCCACCGTTCTTCCCTTCCTTTTCCTTCTCCACGCCCCAACTTTCCCCTTCCTTCCTCTCCCTTCCCTCATCCTCCTCTCGCCCCTCCCTTCCTCGTCCCCCCCTCCCTGCAGAGACGTGAGCGAGAATCAGTTCACGGGGGCGCCCATTTCAACCTTCGCGTCGCCAGCCATGGCCAACACCTCCCTCGCCACGCTCGACCTCTCCGGCAACTTCCTCTCCTCCCCCGCCGCCTCCTACTCCGCCGCCTCCCTCCCCTTCTGCCCCACCGCCCTGCAAGGCGGCTACGCCGCCTCCACTCTCCTCTCCTTGGGTGCTTCTCCGTATAGCTCCCAGAAGGGGAATTGCTTTCTGGCGGGTAGCTGGAACATGACGGAGAGTTTTACCGATGATAAGAGGAGGGGAGGGTGGAAGTCGGAAGGCGGGAAATCGTTGGACGAGCGGAAGAAGCTGAAAGACAGCTGGTCCAATTCGGGGCAGAATGGGAACAGCGGCAGCAGCAGCGGCGGTGGCAGCAGCAGCAGCAGCGGCAAGAAGAACTCGATAAGCAACAGCAACAGCAACAGCAACAGCAACGGGAACGGGAACAGCGGCAGCAGCGGCGGCGGCAGTGGCAAGTGGGGCAGGAAGCTGTATGGCAACAGCAACAGCAACGGGAAAGGAAGCAGTAATGGGAATGGAAACAGCGGCAGCAGTGGCAGCAGTGGCGGGAGCGCGAGCGCGGGGACGGGGTGCCCCGTGGGGGCGCAGAGAAGGTCCATCGAGTGTGTGGCGTTCTGCGGCGCGGCTCTCCCTGCGGGGCCGTGTGGCGGGCTCGGCACGTGCTTCCTCTCCGGCCCGTCCAACACCCCCACCTGCGCCTGCAACGCCGGCATGTTCAACGTGCTGCTGTCCATTCAAGTGGGCAAGGAGAAGGTCTCCTACCCCTCCTGCTCGCCCAACCAAGGCCCTGCCCCTCCTCGTGAGTGCCTGTGCCTTGTAACTCTGTGGTGACTTTTGAGTCGACTCAAAAGTCCCCTCCTCGTGAGAGCCTGTGCCTTGTAACTCCGTGGATTCCGTGCGTTTTCGCGTATCGCATCTAGCATCGCTCATCCTCTCCCTGTGTTGCTCTTCTTTCATGTGTGTCTCATTCCCCTCCGCTCTCCCTCTGCTCTGTGTCTCGTCTTGTGCAGCTCCTCCCCCTCCTCCCGATGCTAACACATGGCGAAGGCGAGGTGAGCCAACCTTCCACCCCTCCACCTCTCCTGCTCGCCCTTCCTTGACTGCTCGTGCCCATGGCCTCGCCCATTCATTCTCTTTGCATTTCGTCCTCTTTTTTCATTGTTCACTCACTCATTCGCACTCTCTCTCTCTCTCTCTCTCTCTCTCTCTCTCTCTCTCTCTCTCTCTCTCTCTCTCTCTCTCTCTCTCTCTCTCTCTCTCTCTCTCTCTCTCTCTCTCTCTCTCTCCCTCCTTCGCTCCACCCCATAACAGAGTTCCGAGGAGCAGATCTGGACGACACGGCAGTAGCACGCGGTTCCTACTTCAACCCCTACTTCCGCTACGCCTCGCTTGGCTTCATCGGCAACTACACCAGCCCAAAATGGAACATCACTCCCACAGTCGACTGGCGCACTCGTGTCCCCACTGCGCTCGCCCCGGCCAAGGACCAAGGCCTCTGCGGTCAGTTCCTCGCCTCTCACCGCCCCACCTCTCCTTTTTGTTCTTCCTGCTCACGCTGCTGCTCCCAGCATTCGCACGCACCTGCTCACAACCCTCCCTACCTCCCCTCTCTACCTCATCTTGCTTTTCCCTCTGCGCCCTCCCTCTCCCCCTCCGCAGCGGCGTGTTGGATATTCGCGCCGGTGGCGGCGGCGGAGGCGCTGTATGCGATTGTGTACGGCGCAGCGGCGCCCAGCCTGGCGGAGCAGAAGGCCATCGACTGCCAGGGCACCTGGTCCTGCGCGGGTGGCCGCCCCGACGACGCCTTCAACTACATCGCCGCTTCCGGTGGCCTCCCCAACTCCTCCGCCTACCCTTTCACCGGAGTCCCCAACAACAGCACCTGCCGGGTCACTCGCAAGCGGTTGCTTTCCGTCAATCCCACCCGCCGCCTCCTCTCGGATCTGTTCAACTCAGGCAACACTAACACCAACGCCAACGGCAACGCCGCCACCAACGGCAACGTCAATCCCAACAGCGCTGTCGTCCGCAACACTTTCTCGCACACGCTCGACCGCCTTCTCCTGCCCTCCTTCTGGTCGGGACCTGCTGCCAAGGCGCCGCCGGCCGCGTCGGTGCCAATGCCCAACTCGGCCTACTCCGTGTCCATGTTTGAGCGCGTGGGCATCAGCGGGTGGCTGGGCCTGGCCATTGCGGTGCAGCAGCAGCCTGTGGTGGTTTACATTGAGGCGCGGGCTGATACGTTCATGAACTACACTGGGGTGAGTTTGTCTGTGTCTCTCTCTCTCTCTCTCTCTCTCTCTCTCTCTCTCTCTCTCTCTCTCTCTCTCTCTCCCTCTCTCTCTCTTTCTCTCTCTCTATCTCTCCTCTTAGTGTATTTTTTTTGTTTTTGTTTTTTGTTTGTTTGTTTGTTTGTTTTTTTTTTTTTTTCTGCGGTTCTATGAATTCCGCCTCCGATCACATAACGAAACCCGCGGTTCTTTATTTCCCCGTCTCGTGTTTCCTCCCCTCCCCAGGGCTACGTGTATGCAGACCCCAACTGCTATGCGACACGGCTGGTGGACCATCTGGTGGTGGTGGTGGGGTTCAACCTGCTGGACGCGACGCCCCACTGGATCATCCGCAACTCATGGGGCCCATCGTGGGGCGAGAGTGGCTACATGAAGATCGCCATTGCGGGCGGCCCGGGCATCTGCGGCATGAACACCCTGCCAGGCCTCTACCCCTCCATCGTCTCCCCCGACCCCTGCAAGCCCATCAACCCGTGTGGAGGGGGCGTGTGCACGGCGGTGACGGGCAACAAGAACCAGCGCAACAAATGCACGTGCCCGACCAACTTTGTTGCTGTTACCAATCTTGATTGGACACAGTCCTGTGCTCTGGGTATGTCACAATCTCTCTATTTTCTTTGTGTGTGTGTGTGTGTTCTTTCTTTCTTTCTTTCTTTCTTTCTTTCTTTCTTTCTTTCTTTCTTTCTTTCTTTCTTTCTTTCTTTCTTTCTTTCTTTCTTTCCTTCTTTCCTTCTTTCCTTCTTTCCTTCTTTCCTTCTTTCCTTCTTTCCTTCTTTCCTTCTTTCCTTCTTTCCTTCTTTCCTTCTTTCCTTCTTTCCTTCTTTCCTTCTTTCCTTCTTTCCTTCTTTCCTTCTTTCTTTCTTCTTTCTTTCTTTCTTTCTTTCTTTCCGTTTCCCATCTTCTCCTCAACTTTTCTCTCCCCTGCTGCGTCCTTCTCTCCCTCCCTCCTCCTCCCACCCATCCTCTCCGCAATCTCCCCCCTCCCACCACTCCAGCCAAGGTCTGCGCCTTCTTCGCAATGAATCCGTGTGGCTTCGGCACGTGCATTGACGACAACAAGGGCGGCTACTCGTGCCTCTGCTCGCCGGGCTACTCTCTTGGACAGCGTACAGACGGCTCTGCCACATGCATTCCAGGCGGCGCAACGGCAAACGTGACCCTGCAAGCAGCCATGACGTGCAGTCAAATCCGCTCCACCTACATGCTCTCCCGGTCGATGTTCATACAGCTCAACCCGGTACGCTCCTCCGTTCGATTCTCTCTCCACCTCCGTGCCCTCCCTCCCTCCCTCCCTCCTCTCTGCTTCTGTCGTGCCTCAAAAGCCACCTACATGCTTTGAGTTGACTCAAAACACGGCTCTCCCGGCGGATGTTCACACCGCTCAACCTGGTATTCTCTCCTACCTTCGCTTCGCACCCCGCTCTCTTTCCACCTCTGTCTCCTCCTCCTTCCCTGCAACAACCCTCGTTACTTCCCTTGTTGCACTCACCATTGCCATCTCCGTTTGTCGTTCACGACAGATCAACCCCTTGTGACCCAGTCCTCACTTACACGTCCTGCCCCTTGCCCGCTCTCCCTCCCCGCCCTCCCCTCTGCAGAAGCTCAAGTGTGCGGGCACCTTCCCCCCTGGCACTGTCATTGTCACACGCAACACCAACCAGACCAGCGCCAATGTCACTGGCTGCATCATACCCTACACGGTGGCCCAGGTGTGTGCCGTGCCTCAGGTGTGTTCTGAGGTGGGTGCACAATTAGGTGCTCGGGTGGGTGCTGCTGTGGCCCGGGTGGGTATCTGGTGAGTGCTGTTGCTCAGGCTGGCAGTGTGGCTCTATGTCACTGTCACACCTCTCCCTTGCTGTCTTCTCGTCCGTTTTGAGCATGCTGCGCGGTTACCACTTTGCTTCCCATCTGCCTTTTTTCTATCGCATTGAACCCCACTCTTTCCCTCTCTCCTCCCCTCTCTCTCTCCCTCGTTCCCCTCCTTCTCAGGGCGACTCGTGCACCACAATCATGACAATGTTCAATGTTACCTTGGCACAGCTGAATGTCACCAACCCCGATTTGGACTGTGGAATACTGGCAGTTGGGCAACAGGTCAGTCAATCTGATCAACCAATCAATCACCCGCTTACTCACACATACACTCAAGCTGACTATTGAGCCGACTCATAAGTAGCTTTGACTGGAATATTGGCAGTCAGGCAACAGGTTAGTCAGCCGCCCGCTTACATGCACGCATTCTCTCGTTTCCGGACCCCACTCCACGGCATTTTGATTTTGGTTCTCACCATCGCTGTCACAAAAAACGCAGTATCAGCCTTCATTCATGTCTTGCCCGGGAGCATTGCCTCCGTGGTTATAAGCGGCAATTGAAACACAAATTCATTGTACTGAAACATTTTCTCTCCTGCTGTTACCTGCTGTTACTGCCTTTTTTTTTTTTTTTTTTTTTTTTCTGTTGCAGATATGCATCAGTTCCGGCACACCTCAGGCCCAGAGCTGCCTCAACTTCTACACAGTCAACCCTGGAGAGTCGTGCAATGATGTGATGATCAACACGTATCCGCCAATCACACCGGCACAGCTGTACCAGTACAACCCCGGAATCATCTGCACTGCTGACACCTCGCAACGGCTCGTCGGCCAAGAGGTATTTGTTTTTTCCTAACCTGAACGAGCGTCCTTCACCCCGCGTACGGTAGCATGATGCTGTTGAATGGCTCCAACTTGTTGTCTTTTGTTCTAATTCTCATTCCCCTTATGTGTTTTGCTCCTTCCTGCTTCCTCATTCTCCCCTCTGTCACCTGCGCTTTGTTTTTTTTTTTTTTCGTGCTCAGGTGTGTGTGGATGCCACGATTGTCGGAGCTGTGAAATGCAGCTACGGCGTCTACACTGTCGTGCGGGGCGACACGTGCGCGAGTGTAGTGTGCAAGGTGTTCAAGTGTTCCTACTCCACAATGTACGCGTATAATGCTGGCTTCAAATGCACCACCTCGACGCTCTACGTGGGGAAGGCTCTTTGCAAACCAAAGCCTTAAGTTGATACCTTCCATAGTCAAGAATCTTGCCCTCATGATTTGAGTTGATACCTCCATTTGTTTCTATTCAGTTTCATTCATTTTATATTTATTTGTGCTGTGTTAGTCGCCTCTAGCTAGCTAGTCCATGGGATGTCCCCTTGTGTATTTTATAATTTTGTTAAATATTGGCCTTAAAAGTTAATACTGAGATGAATTAACATGTACACCTCATGTACTCTGCATCCTAGGTGTCATAATATTTTACCAGTCGCCAGCTTTCCTTGGCGGTTGATTTGGTTCGTGTGGCAGCAATCCACCACCAACAACCCCCTCATTCTGCTGCGAGCCCAGTTCAGGCAGAGAGCCAGCTCGGAAATCCAGATTGTCTTGCACTGTGCCTAGCCAGCTCGAAGTGTGGTCGAACGCTAGGTTGGTGAAAAACATGAAATATGGACAGCAATTCGCGAAGGCGTGAGCTCTGCAGGACAGTGATGAAACTTTGCACGGAATCTCGAGCTGCCCGAAACTGCTGGCTGAACTGTACCACTCGAGAGGGAAACACACTTGGGTGATATTGGAGAGAGGTGGAGCAACATGAACGCACGGGGGCAAAATGAAGCAAGGCCGCAACAGAAGCGGCGAGGCCAAAAGAAGCCCCCAACCACAAACCTGCGGCCGTTACAGCTGGTTAGCCATGCGATGCGACCGTTAGTGTTGTACACCCTGTTTCTTCTAGACTGTGATCAGATATAAATTAGGAGACGGTGTGTATAACACCTACGCGTTCAAAACGGTTATAGAACAGAGCACATAAGCACAATTGCCCTACTCAACTGAACGTCATAGCGATGTTCCTATTATAAACCGTTGTCTGTTGTTCAAATGTTGTGCATTTGCCCGCCACCAACCTGGGGCTCGGTTACAATCACTAGCGCGCTAAATCCAGGAATACGGTCGTACGGTTGCCAGGGCTCCCGTTTGTCGGAACATCGAAAAAGTGGGTGTACTGTATTTTGGACAAAGGCGGAACAGGTGAGAGGATGCTCTGGATGGTAGGTGGGGGCTGGCTGGTTGTTCGATCTGGAGCTGAGAGCAGGAGTCCGTTGTCTCATTAGCGAGTGCTTATCAACCATGTTTCTAGCTTTCTCGTGTGCAACTGAGGGGGAAACGCCTGCGCGTCCTGCCTGCGCCCACAAGAAAATCCTCCTGCCCAGATGTTTCCGTGCGGGATTGCACTTCCGCTTCCCCGTCCGCTCCCCCGCCCTCGAGAGGTGGCGCGGGGCGGAAAGTTGGGGGGGAGAAATCACTGTTCGGGGAAAGCAGCGCGAGACAGACAACCAAGGAAGGAACCACACGGAAGACGTGGAAGAGCAATATCGTATCAGACAGGAGTGTTGCTGGTGTACAGATACAGTTGTTCACGAATCACGAGCCACAATCGCAGCTCACACGTGACAGGCAACAAGGTGAGGCGAAGCTGGCGAAGGAAACTTGACTGAAAGGCCATTCACTACAAAGCAAGCGAAGCGAAGAAACCAGCTGCAGCATTGCCCTGCCAGGCACGTCCCCTTCATCGCCCTCAATGCCGTCCAGATTCCACTGGTAACCGTACTTTTCGAACGAAGAATTGCGAATGCTGTACTTTACTAGTCGAGCCCAGAAATCCACACACTGTACTGTTCCAGTGGAGTTATCGTATGCTTCCACTGCACCTATCCCGTAAACCCAACCAAAAATTAGCCTAAACGTATTTAACCCAACCCAACCCAAACCAACCAGGAGCTATGATCGCGCCTAAGGGTCACCCCGTCCGCGTTCTGGCTCCTACCAAACATCTGCCCTTCAAAGTTGGTTTGGCCGATGTTTGGAAGCCAGCCACACAGAATCTTTTTATCACGGCCTCCCTTCGCTGCGCCAGACTGTCTTTCTCCACGCGTAGGAGAGCTCCCACAATAATTGTTCAATTGAACGATAACTTCTAGGTTTCATTCAACACTTCGTTCCCCTCGCACCCTGTACTGCACCAGAACAAACAGCTGTTTCGTTGTGCCTCAGCCTCCGACCTCTCTCATCGCCGACCATAGACACCCTTCGAGCTGCTGCTGCTGCTGCTGCGAGCACAGCTAACACGAAGCAAACACAACGTTGAGCGGTAAACTGCAGGAGAAATCTATGGGGCCACATCGCAAGCCTTTGGTCACGCCGCGGCGGCGACTACTCGCCGCCCTCGCTCTCTGCGTTTCCTCCCTCCTCCTCCTCCTGCTCCCTTACGCCGACGCACAGCCTGTCGCGGACAGCCAACGTGAGATTCTCTCCCGCTCATTTAAAGACTTCTCGATTTTCGTTTCCCCACTCCGATTTCTTGTAATAGCATACTCCCGTTCTGCATTCCAGTCTTCCTGTTCCCACGCGTACGACCTCTCTTGCGTCTTCCTCTTTGTCTGCCCACTTTTGCCTCTCACTTTCCCCCGTGTGTTCCCGAGCCGCTATATGATTCAATTTGTCGTCGCCCCGATTTCCGTCTTGCGTTCGGCGTCTCGGCTTCAACTTACCCTCCCGTGCGCTCCCGTCTCCCCTTCCCGCCTCCCCCTCCCCACCCTTTTCCCCTCTCCCCCTTTCCCTCCCCCCTGCCTCTTCCCCCTTCCCCACTTTCCGCGTAAGCAGAACCTGCGCTGCGCGCCATCGCGAGCGCGTGGGGGCCGTACATTCCGCTGGCGAACTCGTGGTTCGTCGCCGCGGATTGCGCGCAATGGGAGGGGCTCAAGTGCAACGCCATGGGCCAAGTCACCAGCATGTACGCGCCGCCCTAACTCCGTCTCTAGCTACTTCGCCGCTTAACACAGCTACTTCGCCGCCTACTTCGCTGCGTGCGATAGCCACTTCGCCGCGTTAGAAGCCGCGGGCTCACAGGGTGTCAGCCAGCCAGAATTCCCGAGTGCTAAAGTGATACCCTTTCTCACTCCTTACTCCCTCTCACCCCATCTCGCCCGTCTCACCCGGTCGCCTCTAACGGTCGACAATACCAGGGTGATCACGGACCGCGCAGGCCTCGCAGGGCAGACCATTCCCGACGCCGTCACGCAGCTCTTCGCGCTCGAAACTCTGTAAGCCCGCGCGCCTTTCCGCTAGACCGCTCGGCCTCCCGCCAGCCCGTCCTTCTGTCCCCGTCCGCCCCCCGTTCCGCCCATCCGTCCTTCCGCCGTTCCGCTCGTCCGTCCGTCCGCCGTTCCGTCCCTCGCGCCGCATACCGCATCATCGCGCGCAGTTCTGCGGTCTGCGGTCTACGCGTCGCGTGTCGTTGCGGCTGTCGGCCTCGCTGCGCGCGTCGGCTCAGGTCCCGTGTCGCACTTGTGGCATACCTCCCGCTCCGCTCCTCGCGTCTCCTGCGCACGTTCTCTTCACGCTCTCCCTCCCCCCACGTCCGCACCGCCATTGCGCCGCTTCCGCTCTTTCTTCCCCGTGCTTTTATCCTAACCGCAATCACGCCTCTCCTCCCTTTCCCTTATCACTCCCTCCACTTCCCCACTCCACATTCCCCCTTCTCCCACCTTCTCTCTTGCTTCCTCTCCATCTCTCCTTCCCCTCTTCCCCCTTCGCTTTGGCCCGTTTCCCCCTCTTTGCCCCTAGCACACAGCGCGCCACGGGTCCGCGCCACAACCATAACCGCGCCACAACCATAACCGCTCCGCTCCTTTTATTTGTTCTTCCCCGACTTGCATAATATTTCTCAACCCTCGATGAGCAGGAGTCTGGACCACAACCTTCTCGCGGGCGCCATTCCGCCGTCTATCGACTACCTCTCCGCTCTCACCAACCTGTACGCCTCTCTCTCTCTCTCTCTCCCCGCCAATCGCGCCGCAACTGCTGCCTGCGCGCTCTCCTTGCCTTCCGCCTGACCCCTCCGCCGACCTCTTCCGCTGCCCGCCTTTCCGCGCTGCCCGCCTGACCTCCTGCTTCCTGCCCGCCTCTCCCGTCCGTCTGTGCGTTCAGGTCACTGAGCGGCAACTTCCTGGAAGGCTCCCTTCCCGCGGGAATCTTCAACCTCGTCAACCTTCGAGTGCTGTACGCCCCTTCCGCTCTCCTCTCCTCTCCTCTCCTCTCCGCTCCTCTCCTCTCCTCTCCTCTCCTCTCCTCTCCTCTCTGCTCCTCTCCTCTCCTCTCCTCTCCTCTCCTCTCCGCTCCTCTCCTCTCCTCTCCTCTCCGCTCCACCCTCCCTACTCCTTACCTTCCCGCCACCCTCTCCGCTGCTTCCTCTCCCCTCTCCTCCTCTCCTCCTTTTCCATATTCTCTCCCTCTCTCTCTCACCTTACCTTTCCATCCCCGACTTTCCCCGTCACTTGTCCCTCACCACCCCCTGCTTTCTCCCTCCCTCCCCCCTCCCTCACCCCCTTTCTCAATGCAGTGATCTGAGCACCAACGCCCTCTCGGGCCCGCTGCCCGACAGCTTCTCCCAGCTCAACCTTCTCTCCACGCTGTACGTCGCTCCTCCTCGTTCTTGCAACTCTCTCAAACGTGACAAGAAACAGCATAGCCCCCTGTTTTTGCCCCTCCCCCCTTCTCTACTTTCTTCCCCCCCCTCTCCCCCCCCTCCTCCCACTTCCACCCCTCTTCCCCCCCGCGGTCCTTCCCCTTTCCCACCCCCGCTGCCACTGCCTCGCTTCTTCAATCGAAGCCTCTTCCTCACGACGCTTCCTTATGTCTGATTCGCTTCGTCCCCTCGCCCGTCCTCATCCACACCCCCATGCCCATGCCCATGCCCATGCCCATGCATGGCCACACAGATCGCTTGGAGCGAACCAGTTATCGGGCCCCCTGCCCCGCAGCATCTACGCCCTCTCCAACCTGCAACACCTGTACGCCCTCTCTCCCCCCATCTCCCAACTCTCGCCCTTCTGTCCCCACTCCCCTCTCCCGCCTCTCCCCTCATCCCCCTCTCTATCTTCTCTCCCCAATCTCCCCTCTCACTCCCCAACCCTCGTCTGCCCTGTGTTCTCAGCATAATAATTTCCTTTCGTCTG